GTTCAGCAGAAGTATCACCTTGCAGTGGTTCCTTCTGGACAACTTCTGCAGACAAAACAACTTGAACATTTTCTGGATTTGAAGACTTGGCCTTCAACTCGTCCTCTTTTTTCTCTGCTTCATGCTCCAAGTTACCAGAACCATTTTTCTGACAAGAATCTGATGTTATTTCCTGCGTTGAATAATTGAAGGAGCCACCCATTCCACCACTCCACCTTCTCAAAACAGTTTTGTTGGCACTAATGGATAAGTCTGAAGTTTTCCTATTTTGAATATCTGCATTTTCAACCTTTTGTTTGCGCTCAAAGAGACTAATAGCATCTTGAACACTCATTCTGGTCGCATTATTTTCTGGCTTCTTTGGTAGATGTTCCATTTCATTATCAACAGTAACGAGATCAGCATCTCTATTTGACATAGTTTTTTCTCTGTCTGGAAAGTAATTGAGGCTCTTAATGGCAATAGCAGTGGACCTGCGAGAACCAGATCTACCTATCTGTATCCGCCGCATTGGTGAAGCGGATCTTCTAGGTGCCACGGATCTTAAAACCGGTCGACATCTGTCACCACTGGGGTTATCTTTATCACTTGAATCTGAGGAATCCTCAGTGTCTGATGAGTTCTGTCGCTCAGCTTGGGCAACTTTGACAGGGGAAACACCAGCTGCGGGTTTAACTACATCGAGTTTTGCACTAAGGAGGGAAAAACTTCCTATAGATGTTTGGTTAATACGTTCTGGATAGGATAACGATGTTGTCTGCTGCTTCATTGCAGTGTCAAAATGCAGGTTATTTGGGCACAGCTCCAACAACTTCAACAATAAGTTGCTGAACCAAATAAAGATAAATAAAATTTAGTCATCAGCTTCTACCTTTCACATTAGAGATATTAAATAACGTAATCAAGGAAGGACAGTAAGGTGAATCAGTCAAGAACAGCCACATTAATCACAAAAACCATGAGAGCTCAGACAGAAAGCAAAGTGAAGTAAATGAACGATCAAATAGTCAGCATTCTATAAATGTTGATTCAGAAATAACAAAATGCCTTAGATACATGATAAATAGATTGACAAAACAACATCAAGCCTTTATCCCACTAAGTTGGGTCGGATACTTCAATCCTGCATCCTATTAAGTGTCATATTTTCATTTAATTCTAATAATTTAAAATCACTTTTTATACAATAAGACGAGGAAAGAAACATCGCTTGAAGATAATATTGTCGAAATATATTAAAGCAAGTTGAACATAGGATGGTAGAAAATAAACTCATAAAATGTTAGACAAACTAACGTGGAAGAATTAGAAAGGAGAACCCAAAAAACAAAAGTCACATGAGTAGCCTTTGTACAAAAAGATATGCACAAAAATAAGGTTAACGCCTCAGGTAACACTCAATCAAAACGAATGCATAATGAAAATTCATAAAGCCAATCCTTAAGCCTATAACACTAATAATGATGATTTTGTAGTTTACATAAAAAAAATTACCTTAATTGCACTGCCCCAAAATGCTGGGCAAATGATTGTAAATCACGAACTTGGTTGGCACAGCAAGTAGCACCAGGAGCAAGGTTGAACGATGCAACTAACTCTTCCTTCAAAGCAGTCAGTCTCAAGTCCAAAGCCCGCAGCAAATCATTCCTTGGACCTCAAGGTTGTGATACTTTTAGCAGAAGAGCAATATAAGTTGTATAAAAATTATATTTAAAGTTTGGCAAAAGATACTTACTTCGTAGCATCTGATGAAGCGGCGTCAACTTTGACCTGCAGAAAATTGCTTATGTAGTCAAAATAATAATAAAAATAGCTGAAGGTAAAGCATAAAAAGAATCATAGGAAAAGCATTTACTTGCTGTGTTAGACCCGCATCATCTAAGTAGCTCACTTCTGTAAAATAAAACAAAGATTTGTTATGTAATCTAATCTAAGAAGTCTATAAAAGCGATTACATGACAAGCTGAAGCAAAAGCGTTAAACTAGGAAGCTTTTCATTCACAGAAAAATAAATTATAGCAGCATTTCTGGGAAACAGAAGAGATGTTTATCATTTGGAGGAGCTAAAAAAAAAACGGCACAAGAAAGATGGCAGGTCAACAAAACCAGTTTAAAAAGAAAATAGCATCAACAAAGTACAAATTTTCATGTTAAATGTTAGGAAAATGTTTACTTGAATCTCAAGCAAGCTAGCAATGAAAACAAACCATACAAACAACAAAAGTTCAACACAAGGAATGAATTTACATATAATGATTCTCTTTATCAAAGCAATACGATCCCTTTTCCGAACTATTTAAAGTGGAATTTTATCAATCATTCATCTCTATCATTCTTGCTTAAACTTACAATGCAGCAATTCTAACTCATACAAATTTTCTTTTTAGCACAACTTCTAGTTGTACTCTCTTTGATCTACCCAGTATATCCCTTCAAATGAAAGCTTCATTTTGCAATGTTTTATCCCTATCTTTTGCCTTATTTACCTTTTATCGAGCGATTTGAACTCAAAGGAGGAAGAACGTGCCAAAAGGCTCATACCATCACTCCTAGCTTGACGCCAAATATCTACTTTGTGATTCATTCAATTCCATTATGATTAAGTGCTGCACGAGGAATTAACTCTAGTTTTTCTTTTTTTTAATTGGCCGCAATTATTAACCATGTTATCTTTGGTTAACTATTTTTTCTGTCTACCCCTTTCAACATTCATACTATGAACCAATTAGCCCTCTATTGTACACACTAAACCATCTGCTTGTTTAAAAAAAAACTTAAAAGTTGTGCAAAATACCTGCAAAAGATAGGAATAACGCATTATCTAGAACACAACAAGACTGAATGAAGTAGGATCTAGGATAATTCAAAAATCTAACTCTAAAAGTTAAGAATACGTAAATGATAATGATGACCTTCAAATATAAGATTGACACCATTAATAATATCTAAACCCTAAGAACAACTTCAATATAAATGATCACATTCATACTCATCCAATAATCAAACATAATATTTACATTAACAAAATTAAACCTCTCATAAAGTTTTTTTGAAACGAAAACAACTGTAATTCATTTAGATTTACTGTATGTTCTCACAAAATTCAAATTGATTTAGTGCTTCCCACATCATAATAATAAAATTATTTATCTCATTTTCAGGTTCAACCATTGGGCATGCATGCATGCATACATACACACATACCTGCATAGACAATGAGTCCAAAAGTAAATTTCCGATGATGAGTTGGTATATGATCAAAGTTATGATGGCATTGGTTGCAGCTTAGTTTCCGATGCATGGCATGTGAAGTCCAAAGCAAGTTCGAAGGGAATAACAAAATTATAGAGCACAAAAGAGACAAAATTATGAGTAAAATGTTCTCTAAAGTTCTCAAAGCATCCACAACAATGCCAGATTGGTAGATTGGCTCTCTAGAAGTGTATATTAGCATTTTAGTTTTCCATTGAAGAGTACAGGGAGAAGGAGAAAGAGAGAAAGGAGATTTAGATACAGAGAATTTTAATTATTAATATTTAAAGTACAAGATAAATAGCACATATCAAACAAAAAAGAAAGCAAACTGCATTTACAATGGGAAGTTTAAAAGAAATATCATTCATAATAAAGAAAGTTGCTTGAATTAAAGTAAGCGGTCCATTACAATATTAATTTATCAACACAATTTTATGTAACAACACTTCAAATAAGTTTAATTACTTAATATACCTGTGGTCCCCCCTCCATAATGATTTGAATTGCCCTGCTAATTCAAATGAATAGTTTAGAGCTAGTAAGAATTGAAAAAAATATTTAAAAAAGATAAATTTACATATGTAGCCCACAATTCTTATTTATTTGCATATGTCACACCTAAACTTTCATATTTAGGTACATATGACTTTGGTGCTTCAAATTTTATCCATGAAATGGTGCATTTCACTTTTAAAAAGTATTAATAGTGCTATTTTTTATGTGATAACTAAGGATTTGACTGCTATGTGTGTAAATATGAAAGTTTAGGTGTGAGATATGTATATACATATTGTGCCCTATGTATGTAAATGCCCCTAAAAAAATCTGTCAAAATCAAACCAGCATGCTACCTTTGCATATAGAGCAATGTGAAACCTCCGGGTTTCCTCCAAATGACAAATTTCATTCACAATTTCATTGGCAAACTTTAGCACATTGGGCACTTTGACAACATGCAAAAAACTGAGAAAAATAGATACTTAAGTAACAAATAGTTAAGACAAGAAATAAATTTACTTGACATATATACCTTGTTAGTGTAAATTTGCTGAACCATGATGAAAATTCATTGCTTGGATCAAGCTGCAGTTTGAAACTGCCATCTAATGGGTTTGAACGAGATGCTCTTACTTCAGGTAAATGCATAGCCAGCTGATCGAGAGGACCACTATCTAACTTCTCTATAACACCGTTGCTACAAATAAGCGCTTCATAACTGAAATTCAAGTTTTATTTAAAAAAAAAAAGGTCAACCAAGCATAATTATGCAATTTGGAACTGAAGGAGCAATGGCAAGTGCATTTACTTATCTAACAGTTAAACATTGCTTTTTTTACATTTATACCACCCAAATCATTTATATCACATCAGAAATACCACTATTTTAGCTTTTAAAAAGTAAAATACACCTTTTCATACATAGTTAAGGTGGTATGCAGTTAACAGCTGAAGTTTAGGTATTAGATATGTAAATACATAGGAATTGAGTGGTACTTATGTACATCTTCCTTAAAAGAATGGACAACTGTTCAGAATTATCTCACATGCTTCCAGAAAAATTTAAGAATGACAGTTACCTGTTACGCGGCCAAGATACATGAAAACTAGCATAGTCCAGAAATGCATTTTCAGCTACTTTTTCCTCCATATTTGTTCGTAGATTTAAAGAAAATAAAACCTCAGAAAGCAGCACTGCAAAAAATAATCAAAATAGAAAGATGACCATTAGATTGTGTAATTAGACCAAGAATGTTTAACTAGCTGCTTGTTTAACTAAACGTTCCCATTTTAGCAAGTGGACAATGATTTAATTGAACAGACGTCTCTTTTGATAGAAAGAAAAAAAAACAATATCTAAAAACAGAAAATGAAGAGAAAATTCGTTTCTCCTTATTGATTCAATTCAAATTGCCTTTACATATGGGAGTCCCTCCTCCTTAAATAAGGAAACTAACTAAATAAGTTTAAATAATTTCCTATTACATTGCAAGACTAATTAAGCAAGATTTGGTACAGATATCACATGATATAAATAAGGAAGGAGAATAATATATGTATAAGAGGAAAGACAATAAATTGTAATTTGAATTAAATCTTTCAACACTCCCCCTCAAGTTGGCATGAAGATATCTTTCAGAGTCAGTTTGCACACTAAATTGTCGAACTGTTTTTTTGTGAAAACCCTTTATTAGAATATCCGCTGCTTGGTCGTTAGAGGGAACATACACAAGCAAGGAACATACACCATGCAGATATCCCCTCTGTCAATTTTTTCTTTGATGAAGTGTTTGTCTATCCCTACGTGTTTTGTTCTATCATGAAGGACAGGATTGTGAGCGATGGCTAGGGCTGTGAAAAGTTGTTGGACCCCTAGAGGATTCAACAAAGTTAGACGCTTTTTTAAGAGTTTTTAGATGCATCTATTGGAAAAACGACAATATGCTCTATTTAGAGCCGAAATTCATCAGAAAATATTCTCTTCTCGATATCTTTAAGAGTCAGTTTGCACACTAAATTGTCGAACTATTTTTTTTGTGAAGACCCTTTGTTAAAATATCTGTTGCTTGGTCGTTAGAGGGAACATACACCATGCAAATATCTTCTTTGTCAATTTTTTCTTTGATAAAGTGCTTGTCTATCTCTACGTGTTTTGTTCTATCATGTGGGTGATGGCGATGACGATGACAGACTTATTATCACAGTACACATTTATTGGTGGTGGACTATGAATTTTTAATTTCAGGAGAATTTTTCTAATCCATAATAATCCATAGAACTTCACATATCCCATGAGCCACATATATGAATTCAGCTTCAGCACTGCTTCTTGCCACGACACTTTGTTTCTTAGTTTCTTGTTCCTCCAGGTTACTAAGTTCCCTCCTAGAAAAGTGCAGTACCCCGAGGTTGATCTTCTATCTGTAACACCCCCAGCCCAATCTGTATCTGTAAATGCTTCTACCTGTAAGTGCTCATTTTTCTTGAACAGTAGTCCTCTTCAGGGTGTTCCGTTCAGATATCTAAGGATCTGATAGACAACCTCCAAGTGATGAGTATTTGGAGAATGCATAAGCTGACTTACCATACTAACAGCAAATGCTATATCAGGACGAGTGTGTGACAAGTAGATTAGTCTTCCCACCAGTCTCTGATATTATTCTTTATTGACACCATTTATTTTATTTGTCACTTGTAACCTTTTATTTGGTTCAATCGGGGTTTCAGTTGTTTTGCACCCAAGCATTCCGGTTTTACTCAATAAGTCAAGTACATACTTTCGCTGATTAATGGATTAGAAACTTGCCAAAAATCATCTTCTCTATCTGTATTATACTCCCCATGAAGTGAATTTTTGTGAAAGAAGAGAATTTTTTCCATGAAGCTCACATCCATACTAATGTAAATTTTTTTTGTGACGAGATTAAAGCCATTTGTAACCCTTTTTGTTTGAGGCATATCCAAGAAAAATGCATTTTTCAGATTTTGGATCTAATTTTGATCGGCAATTATTCGGAATATGAACGAAACATGTGCATCCAAAGATTTTTAAAGGAATATTTGAAGACATTCGTAGACTTAAAAAGCTATTTTTCAAATTGTTTAGAGAAATTGTATATTATAAAACTCGAGTTGTTATTCGGTTTATTATATATGATGTTGTTAAAACAGTGTCCCCCATGAATATTTATGAACGTTCATTGAAAACATAATAGCCCGAGCAACCTCAAGTAAATGTCTATTTTTTTCTTTCAGCAATTCTATTTTGTTGTGGAGTGTCACGACAAGTAAATTAATGAATTATGTATTTGTTTATTAAGAACTCCCCTAAAAATTTATTAAAATATTCAGTTCCATTGTCAGATCTAAGGATGCATATTTTAGTTTCAAATTGAGTTTCAGTCATGTTGTAAAAATCTTTAAAAAGTTTTTCAACTTTTGATTTTTTGCTTATAAGATAAAACTAACATATTCTGGTGTGATCGTCAATAAAAATCACAAATCCCCTTTTCCCAGATAATGTTTTGACTTTTGAAGGTCCCCAAACATCACTATGGATCATGTAAAAAGATTTTGAAGGATAGTATGGTTTTGGGGCAAAATTTATGCTATTACTTTTTGTCAAATAACATGTTTCACATTGAATTAAAGCACAATTAACACCCTTAAACAAATTAGGAAATAAATGTTTTAAATAAGAAAAAACTTTGATGACCTAGTCTAAGATGAGATTCCATTATTTTCTCTAATGCAGGGTTCGACCTCATACTGTTGTAGGCTTCAACCTCTTTTTTTCTAGGAACAATCTCCTCAAAGTAGTAAAGTCTTCCTATCTTTTTAGCTCTCTCAATCATCATCCCCGACTTCTGGTCCTGAAAAACACAAGAAGATTCACAGAAAATTATACGGCAGTAAGAATCTTTTGAAAATTTGCTGACGGATAGAAGATTACATTTGGGTTTTGGAACATGGAGTACAGATTTGAGATCTATACTTTTGGACAGATTAATATTTCCTTTTCCAGCAATGGAAGAAAAACTACCATCAGCAATATGAGTCTTTTCATGGCCAGAACATGGGATGTATGAATGAAATAAATAGCGTAAATTTGTCATGTGATCAGAAGCTCCTGAATCAATAATCCAAGGGTTTAGTTGTCTACATGCATGTACCATTGAACAATTTGGAGTACCAATAGCCAAACGCCAAACTGGGGTTTAGCATAGTCAGGAGTTGATCGATTTGCTCTTTGCTAAATGGGTTGGTCTATTCGGCAACAGTTTTAGTAGTAGGTGGCTTGCACTTGTTTCTTGGCTTCCAATCTGCAGGTTTACCGTGGAGGTACCAGCAGGTTTCTTTAGTGTGTCGTGGCTTGTTGCAATGATCACACCACACCCGTGGTTTCTCCTCATTCTTCTATGAATATGGAACAGTCCACTTGCTGAATGAGCCTCCGATTGAGATGTCAAAGTCTCAGGTATGCTGGTAGGAGTGGATTTCTTGTTGAGCATTACTCCTCTTCGAGTTTCTTCGCGGCGAACTTCTGAGAAAGCCTCATGGATTGAAGGCATGGGACTTCTTCCAATAATTATGCCCCTAACCTCATCAAACTCCTCTTTAAGTCCAGCAAGAAATTTAATTTTTTTTTTGCATCAACAATGGTCTTATATCTACTAGCATCATCAGGACACTTCCACTCTTGATCATTGAACAGGTCAAGGTCTTGTCATATTCTCTTTAAAGAATTACAGTATTTTGTGACAGAGTCATTACCTTGACGAATATCATCAAGTTTCAGGGAAAGTTTATAAATCTGAGATTGGTTACCCATATCTGAATACCAAATTTGGGTCACATTCTCCCAGAGTTCTTTGACAGTAGAGTAACACATGTAGTTTGTGTCTATCTCTTCTTCCATAGAGTTTACCAGCCATGTCATTATCATGGAATTTTCTGCATCCCAGGTTGCGTAGGATGGATCTGTAGCGGCTAGATTACGTACTTCTCATGTTAGGTAGCCTATCTTCCCTCTTCCTCTAATGTACATCCTCACCGATTGTGACTAGTGTAGATAATTATCACCATTGAGACGGATTGTGGTGATTTGGGCTGGATGATTTTCGGTGGTTGTTTTAGAGGAGGGTGGTGCGGAAGCAGATGACCGGGTAAAAGGCTGGGTAGAAGTAGCGGAATCATTTGTATTTTCAGACATGATAAAAATTGTGCGCCTTTTCAAGTGGCGGAATAGTAGAGAGGTAATGTTTCGCGAATCGCGAGCTTGTGGGCAGCCAAGCAGATTAGAGCAGCAGCGGCGAAACAGAAGGCGTCGTTTGCGATCCTGACTCTTATTTCCGTCAGCAGCGTCGCCCGCGCTTCCTCGCCTTCGGTTCGAGGAAGGAAAGCGCCTGCTTCCGACACCGAGAGACGATCTTTTTCACGCGAGACGGTCTTCTTTATGCAAAAGGCAGGATTCTCCAGATTTTTTTTTGTCTCCGGCTCTAATACCATAAAAACAGGTGAAGAGAAAATTTGTTTCTTCTTATTGATTCAATTCAAATTGCCTTTAAATATAGGAGTCTCTCCTCCTTAGATAAGGAAACTAACTAAATAAGTTTAAATAATTTCCTATTACATTGCAAGACTAATTAAGCAAGATTTAGTATAGATATCACATGATATAAATAAAAAAGGAGAATAATATATGTATAAGAGGAAAGGCAATAAATTGTAATTTGAATTAAATCTTTCAACAATATCATTCACATTGCTGACTTCTCAAAGTTTTTGCAATCCACGAGCTTTTGATAAAATGAAACAACGGCATATTATCAAGAGAAACATATCAATTATTTAAAAAAAACATTATAACCTTTGCACATTGGTTAACAATAACAAAAAAAAAAATTAAATAAATAAATAGATACTTTTTTATTGCGCACAGGACTACTCATTATTTTATAAAACATGTTTTTATAACCTTTGAACATTGTCTAACAAAAATAAAAAGAAAAAATATAATTTTTTATTGCATGCAAGACTAATCATGGCGATAAGTAAGAGTTTATTGGGCGCATCAAAGACAATATTTTTTAAAGTTTTAATATAGCGTAATAAAATAGTTAAAATCATCTCTTGAGATAATAGTGAGAAATCGCGGCTGTTCAAAATTATGCAATTGGGCATTGAAGTTCCTTCAATCCCAGACAGTAAGCATAAGCCTCAAGATGTTTTAAAGTGTAAACCTCAAAAAACAAATTGCAAAATGTAAGAAGTATTATAGTAACATCAAAGTACGACATAAAAAGTTTCATAATAACATCCCTAGCATCAAATCATAATTTAAGAAGTTTGAGTACAAAAATCAAAGAAAAATTTTCAAATTAAGGACATAACAAATCAAGATAAGTTCAACCCCGTAAGTTTCTCCCACTTTCAAATTAGCATTAGCAAGTATCCAACACTCTCATTCCTTAGTGGGACTACATTAGAATTATCGCCAAGATGAATTGATTTCTCTTTTACCTCATTCTAATCTGTATCAATATTCTCCTTATATCACTCCTCATATTGGATCTCAATCATCTTCCTCTTCCCAAATCAATAAAAAAACAACAAGAAAATTGATTTAAGTTTAAAATAATAACTATGTCGATAATAACAACTCAATTAAATAATTTTTAAACAGAAATTTCCTTTGAACTTCATATCGACATGTGATAGCCTATTGATCTTATATTCATCTCCAAGAAAACAATATCAACATTGAGATCTTCTTCCTACAAATCTAATGGTGTAATTTCATTGTCATAATCTATAAATCAAATCTCTAATGACCCATAATTAAAATCTAATGGATCCTATTTAACTGTTAACCTTCATATAATTTTAATATCTCGACGATTACACTGAAAATACCCTGGTAGAGTTATTCGACGAAGGAGGCCGGCAATGAATGCGATGATGCAAGCATCGAGAATAAATTACTCTGATCATCATCGAGCCCAACCCAATCAAAGTCAGTTCACAGAACGATCTACGTTGAAGTGGCAAAATATTCTTTTGGATGGTTGATAGGAAATGTCTGAAGGGAGTAAGACAAAAGTGGGTGGCAAAGGGATGTTACCTATGTCATTAACATGTTAGCAAGGAAGTGTTGGGAAGACAAAGTTTTGGGAGTTGATCGCAGAAGAACATTGAGCAACGATCATTGGCATGCATTGGATGGTGGTTGACATGGAACATTAGAAATAAAGAATGATGAATTGTTAGCTTGATTGTTCTCCTAATAAAAGAGAATATAAAACCAAAGAGATCGAAGTTGAACTTCAATGGTTGATAGAAATTGATCATTAGCAAACATCAAGCAATAGTAAGCTAGGAACATAAGAAGTCAAGCAACAATGGATAGCCAGCTTGGTTGCTTTGTTGATAGCATGAGAGCCTCAACAACGAGAAATAAAAACATCTAACATTGACTTCAATGAATAAATGGCATCATAAACCAGTGAATGATATATTCAACGAACAATGATGAGTAACATTAAAATTCAGACAAAAATAAACACTTGGCTTGATTGTTCTCGTAATAAGATAATAGATCGAGTGATTGAGATAAATTTCATAAGTCATTAATCATCAAACAATAAATATTAGTAGAAGTTGGAGAAACATAGATGAGAAATGTTAGAAGTCTGATTGCAATGAAAGAAAACCAAGCACCAAAAAAGATAGGCACTGAGCATTGATGGCCAACGAAAATTAAACATCAGTCCTTGTTATACATAGATGATGATTAATAGAAAATTAGACATCAGTCAAAGGTATATAATCGACATAGTAGTTCCCCTAATAAAAAGAATGATTTGGCAATTGAAAAAATGAGCGTAAGATGTTGATTATTGATAAATGTCGAATGTCAAAAAAATGATGAAAATGGGTAAGTCTACATAATCATTCTCCTAACAGTATGTGAGATCAAGTGACATGAGAGACGGCGTCGGATGTCGACCCATGACCAATGACGAGTAATGGTAAATGTCGAATTCAGTCAAAAATTGATCTTTAGTTGGTGAATGTCTAGCATCAAGAGGAGCCCAACGTCTAGCAATGATGTCACTCAGTGGGAAGCAATATGAAATTCATTAAAATCCTCTACATATAGCATAAAACTTTTGGTTCAAAATCCACACGTGTAAAAATAGAACCTACACATATATTTGTGGAGGAGATACTGTGGAAATTTCTAAAAAAAATTGAACGCTCCATCAGATGGTTGAAAATATTTCCCTTAATCATTTTGCATTTTTTTAACATTTAAATATATTATTGGACTCATATATGTGTAACATCGGAATCGTAAGATTCACACAATCAAGAAGCTCATTTCAACTAAACACACGGAAATTGTTACATGTTTGACTACTTAAATGATCTTAAAAAGTTTTCAATTTTCTTCTGCGTCTATGCATGATTTTAAGCTCATTGGGACTCAAATCCAAGTGTTCTTTGTATGATCGGTTCATTTCATCAAAACACGTTGTCTAGACAATAAAATTTGTTGAAAACAGATCTCAAAATCAATTCTTAAGTTCTTGATCCAAATTCTTAGGTGCTTAATTATACATAATTTATGTTAAATATGTGCTTAATCAAATTAATTCTTTGGCTGCAAATCGCTTCTCATTATGGCTTCAATATGAACCATACTGCATGTATTTCAAACTAAATTTAGCATGCACAAATCCAAAAATAGCATCCCCGTGAATTCAAATACCCAAAAAGCCAAATACTTAGAACATGAAATCAAAGTGATTAAATTCCAATGAATTACAAACCAAACAAAAACTACTGACACAATATTTCATACAATGCATGGCAGTTCAATTTGTGAAATACTAAAGTCTTTTTCATCAAGTACTATAACTCCATTAAACCAAAAATGCAACAACTAAACTAAACAGTTTAGAAATTCTCATTAAATAAAGCCAGCGGTTTCCGGGACTTAAATCCTCTCGATTTAACATCGAGATGATCCCACTATTTCAAACCACTCGGGCTTTAAGAAAGTTAATACACGCATCAAAGCAAATTGGATGTGTAGGATGGACACAGCCATCGTGGTAACTGTAGAGGATCAAAATACAATAATTCCAGCACAAAAATCCCACCAATAAACTTTGTTTATCTAGTCCAGAGCATAAATAATAATAGGACTCGCCAATAACAAATCCAAACCACCCTCATTCATGACCGATTGAATCAAGAGACTGCAAGCGATTGGAACAATGAAGTAAATCAAAGGATCATATTCCACAAGGAAAAAAGAAAAAAGAAACACAAACCCAGAAGTACAGCAATTTGAAACCTTCAAAGCACTACAAAAAAGTAAATCCTACCCGCTCTTAACATCCATGATCCACTTGTCTCTAGAAAAAAAAATAATAAAAATAAAAATTCAAAACCCCATTAAAATCTCCAAGATCCGACACGCATTGCTCGATTCCTAACAAAAGCAGGGCAGTTAATCCAACAAATCAAAGAAAATTAAATACAGATGCCACAAATAAGCACTCCAGACTTCAATTCAAGCCGTCAATCAAAGCTCAAAAAAAGTAAAAATAAAAATAAAAATAGATCTAAAGCACACACAAATCTTTAAAAATAAGGCAATGCAAAGTTACCAGATCAAGTCTGAGAAACCCTAACTGCTCGGGGACAAAGTCACCCGTCTAGCACAAAATTCCCGACTCCTAAAGCCACAAATGAACCAGAAAATGGAAG